ATACAATAAGATGATCTCTCCGCGTCGAAGCCCGTAAGCGACTGGTCGACTGATCATGGGGGCGGTGCTCTCCCACTGCGAGCCCGCAACCTCTGCCTTAGGATATTACCATATATGGTGTTGTATCGACGATACCGCGAGGGATCGAATCTACGAAACATCGATCAACGGATAGGACGAGTGTATAGTGTAAATGTGCGTGTGTGTGTGACTGTATGATTGTATGTTTGTGTGAAATGTAGGAGATCCCCTACACCGCTATTAGGAACATCAACATTGAGGAGATTGCAGTTTTAGCACGCAAATTGCGCGCTGCTCAGTCCCCTCAGGAACGACTCCTTGCTCTTACAGAGCATCATAATCTCTTGTGTTCGTTATAAGTTAATTTAACACGGCCTAAACTGCATTTCGGCGGCTCAGGCCGACTCTTCTTAAATTTTTGCCTTAGGCTCTTCCTCAGCGGCTCTTTGTAGCCGCCTGCGCCCTCTTCTCCCAAAAGAGGGTCGCTTCCGATCCGATGAAGCGGCTTAAACGGCCAATCGTCAGTCCCACAGGCGGTTTTTAGTGGGTAGCACCTAGGCTCCACTTTAGGTTAGATACAGCGAGTCCCACATAACCACGACAGACCGGCTGTCGTGGTATGCATAAAGCATTTACCGCCTCCCTGCGTATCGGGGTAGCCCATTTTCCAATTGCTTCTGGGCGCAAGAAAAAAAAAACGATCGAGTCAGTATTGAATTGGCAATACAAGGGAATACTTCGCCGCGAAATAATTGCGAACCAAAGTGATCAGTAGTACAATTGTGTTTTATTATTAGTGTGGTTTAAATTGTAGTTAGTGTTCTGTAGTTAAAGTGTCAATTTTGGTAATTCAAGCTCGTAACACTATTAAGTTTCATGTGAAGGAAGCTTTTCAAAACTCAAGTTAATAAAATCTTACTTAAGGTCCACAACGCGCTAAGCGCGTCTAACCAATCTTTCCATTTTATCGATTGAAAATGACAAGAAAGTAAATTTTGATAATATATTAGAATATTTTAGCAAAATAAAGTCCCCTTAGCATGTGTAGCATTTTTTGTTTTATTTTGGGAGGTGCTTGATAGAAAACCGCCCTGGGTGCCGACCCACACTACGCCGCCACTAGTTACCGTAAGGTTTGATACTGTAGCGAAGCAATAATGTAATCAAAATATTAAACGGGGTTTAATTATAACACTATTCACTTTCTATATTGAAAAAAAAAAACGCATTTCGTTTTCCGTAATGCTGTATATACTATTAATATTCTCAAAACATTGTATCATGGACACTCTATTAAAAAAAAAGGGAACGCTTAACTCGGTGCCTTTCATTCATTTCAAGGTCACTGATTTAGGAACGTTTCTCTAGTATGAAGTGCGCACTCCCTATATTTTAAAACCTCCTTGCCACAGACAGACTAATATTAGGAGTCAGGTGTATTTATCGTAATAGATTTAAAAAAAACAAGTATCTTAAAAATTTTAAAATATGCAGACTTTTCTATCAAAAGGTTAAATATTTATATAATTTAATATACAATACTTTATTATATACAATATTTAAAATTATAACAATAATAATTAAAAACTAAAACTAGAAACCTAATTATCATATAGTCCTAATCCCCGCGGTATCGTGCCGAGAACTGGCTGCGCTTCCCCGCTGAATGACTATAAATAGCCTTTGAGCGAGAAAAGAACCAGTCCTTTTATCACCAGCAGCAATGACCAGCCGCGGGTGGAGTTATTTATTGAGCAAAAATTGTCTAGTAAGGGTTATTATACTACTAATCAATCAATCAATCAAATTATTTATTCGTTTTCACAGTAAAGAGTACATGACTGATAATAACCCCTGGGAATTAGGTGATCGCTACCATGCTGTTTCTAAATGTTTTCATAACAATTGTATAAATATTATAATATACTAGCTGGCCATGCAGACGTTGTTCTGCCGTCTCCGACGACCCTGTCGTCGAAGACGGCAGAACAACGTCTGCGTCCTATAAAAAATCCTAAATTCGCAATGAAATATATTGAAGGTCGCTTATCGAGATAAAAAGTATCCTATCTCTCAAGTTGGACCAAACTGCACACAGTGTGCGAAATTTCATTGAGATCAGTTTAGTAGTTTAGGAGTTCATCGTGGACAAACAATGTAGACGCGTAATTTTTATATATAAGATTGTATATTGTGCTTTTTTAAAAAGAAAGTCCCTCTGGGTTTCTTGCTTGTTCTTCCTAGGACAGAGGTTTTTTTGAACCTGTGTTAAAAGTAAAAAAATGACTTTCAATAAGTATTATGTATTTTAATCTATATTGAATAAAAATTATTCTATTGTATTGTATTCTATAGCAAATTGTACAGTACGGTTTCTTTACTCATGTGGTTACACGCACTCATAGTAAAGAAACCGTACCGTACAGAGGCAAAGCTTCATACAACCGCGCTGTGATAATTACACTATTACAAGCTTGAGGCACGTATGTGCGTGAGCACTGGCGGCTCGTCACGTACATAGAGAAACTGCTTTAAACCGGATTGGCCAGTGCTCAAACTCAGGAATATGTAAAGAATAATAAGTGTAAAATTTTATTTTTTTAAAGTATTATTCGTGTCAAATGATATATAAAAAAGTGTTAATATGGTTTATTGTACTGTTTGTATGAACAATAATAGAATAAATAACAATATATAACTTTTTTAATTATACCAAAGACTCAATCAAGTAAGTGGTAACTTGACTATAATTTATTATTTTTAATGTGGTTGATATGTCGCAGGATGATAGTTAAAGCCGTGAAATAGTTATATACCTAGGGATATAGCTATATACCAGTTCATAACTATCTTACTGCACTAATCTTAAGAAATAATAATTATAATTGTAAACTGAATGTACAGGAGGAACAAATTTCGCGACATTGACGTTTTCGTTGTATTGTTGTTCATGTTCCTTTTTTGACAGTAGGTTAAGGTGTGGCTGGGTTGGCCCTAGGGCCACCCTAAAGCCATACCTTAACGTTCTAAGGATATAAAATATAATACTGAAAGAATTAAATTTTTGAATTTCAAAACTGCCATCACTCAGCTTACTGATAAATGACGGTGCTTGTTTGAGTTCCAGCCAGTGTGAGAATGTATCTGAAATGAATGTATGAATTGCTTGAGCAAAAATTTTGCGAATATTTTGATCTCTATAGGTTTCTGTTGTAATTATTGGTAATGAAATATTAAAACGTGTGCAAGATCGCATATTTGTTATGCCATGTGAGTGCTTTCCAATAGATTATTAAAAAAAACTTTACATCAGATTCATAATTTATCATTTAATTAAAAGGCTCAACAAATTATTGAAGAACAAAAATTATAAATAAAATATTTAGAATGAGCAGTTTGTAAGAAAATATTCTATCTTAAGTATATAATTAAAGCTGATAAACGTTTTGCTTATTTCATTTTATCTTCCTGTGCCAACCCTACCAAAATAGGTAAAAATTTTGACTGCTCCTTAGAAAATTTGCCTCTACGGTTTCTTTACTCATGTGCTGTAACTGAGACAAACAAACTGAAATAACGGCTCCTGTTTCACTAGATAACAAAGCCACTAAAGGACAGTCACAAGTTTCTTCTTCATTCTTACGGACAGTTACCTTTGTTAGAATAAGATAAAAAATGTTACTGTGACACCCTGTTACTCGTCACAAGCTCTTACCTTTTCAAAGGTTCGACACTATAGTTACAAAGAGGAAGTATCTTAAAATAGTAGCCTGTCACTGTGACAAATTGAAAGAATAGCTCCTGTTCCACGAGATAACAAATTTCATTATAACAATCTATTAAACGGTAAAATCAATTAAACAGTCAGAAGCTTTTCTTTATTCATACACATATGATAGTTACGAGTATCTTTATTAGAATAAGATAAAAAATATTACTATTACACTGTGACACCCTGTTGCAGTTGTCACAAGCTCCGTCCTTTTGTCGCATAGGTTTAACACCTTAATTAGAAAGAGAAGTAATTACCAAAACTGTAGTAACAGACTGCTATTTTGTAACAGCTTTTTGGAACTATTATTTATGTGGAGCTGGAACAGTGGGACAAATATATGATTTTACCTGTTACAGCCCACTTCTAACCTAGCACTTCTTACCAATTTGTGACTTCTAACTACAGACTAATATGATGATTACGCTTCTAACTAATATATTAATAATTTTTTTACGTGGTAGAGCCATGCTGCAGCTATATTAGTAGTATATTTGTAGCACGAATGGGTCGGCTCGACCGGGGAAGGACCACGCTCACACAAAATACCAGCGTAAAATAGCAGCTTAACGCTGCTGTGTTTCGTATGGTGGGTGTAGAGAACAGGAGACCCTTTTTACTGGAAATGAGGCATGAGACTAGTTGCCATTGTAACGGTTGTGTTGTTTTGGATTTGCTTACAACCACAGGCAAAGAGAATATAATCACTACGTTTAAGAGGCGGGACTCCCATAGTGGGATTACTGCCCAGGATTGGACAAATTATATACTTGTAAAAGGAGTGGGTATGATAATTTGTCTAAGAGAAATGTAACATGCTAGTGCCAATACTAAGTGCTGACTGCTGTTGTCATTATTTTCAGTAGGTAATTGTTATCACGGAACGATAGTGTTTTATTGTATCTATGTGTGTATGAAATTGTCACTTTAAGTATTGTTTAAATTGATATGTGTGGGTTTTGGAGTGACTAACGATTGTTTTTGTGAACGCAGATCTCTCTCCGCAAAAAATTACAGTTAGTTCTGTATCAGGTAAAACACTATGGCTATTCTTCTCTGTGCCCATAGCCTGTGTTGCTCTACGTGTGATGCATTAGTTTAAGCTGTATGGTCTATGACTTTTGCCTGCCTCATTGGTAAATCGTAATAACAACAAAACATTTCATTGTCATTTTTGTCAACAGTGGCATTGACGTTTAGTTATACAATGCTTGAACAAATACCCGACAAAGAAACTCAAAGTAATAATAGTAAAACACTGTCTAATAAGGCCCGGCGAAAACGAAAGAAAAAGTTTGCTTCTAACCAGAAGGGTGGTCGAAAAGATATAAGGCGAAAAAATTCGAAACTGGCTTTAACAATGAGTACATGGGCAGAAAGTTTTACTATAGCTGCTACATGGCAACTCAAACATCAAATTGCATATTGGAAAGCAAGAGCTAAGGCTTTAGAGTTTGAGAATCAAGTTTTGCATGATATCATCCGAAAGAATAATTATATTACCGACACCGCGCAAAATTCAAAGGCGTATTCTGAAACAGTTGTGTCCGCGGATAATTGCGATGCAGAGGTTGAATCTACTATAACCGAAAATGATCAGGAAGATATGGATTTCGAAGTGAGCGAAGAATTTATAGAGTTTTTGGTTGCAAATGCAAAGTATAAAGAAGATGCTAGGCGGGAACGAGAGCGTTTACGCGCAAAAATTGAAGAGGAAGAGTCCAATTCTTTTTATGAAGAACCTCAAGAAAGTACTGAAGAAAAACAAGAGAAGTTAAAAGAGTTATATGGTAATCACTGGCAAAGAATATCAGCTTTAGAAATAGCAATGCAGTCAAAATTTATTAATGATACTGACAGAAATAAGCCAATGTATTGGCCTAATATACCATTTAACTTTAATTTTAGTAAAACATAGATCAGTGTTTTGTGATAAAAATAGACTGACACTTGGTTTTATTGAATCACTGTAATATGTACTTTAAAAATTATATTTCCTTAAATAAGTTAACTTAGCTTGTGTGTTAAAGAAAAAATCAAATTTGTGAAATTTGATCTGAATCAGAACATGTTTAAATAATACAGTAGAAGTCCGATAATCCGGCACATTCAGGACCAGCTCGGTGCCGGACTACCGAAAATTCCAGTCTATCGGGCGGTAATTATAAGAACAATTAGGTTAATAATTAAACTACAAATCAGTATGCAAATATGTATGTACAATACAATAAAGTTTATTTTACATTTCATATAATGTATGTACACGTACTGTAAAACATATTTCACTTAGATTTAAAAAAGTCATGAATGTCTTTTTGTTTTCTTGACTTTTGGCATTTAGTATAAAATTTATTTCTAATGATATGGAAATCAATAATTTCTGAAGCACTGTAGCTAGTACTAGCCTCAGCAAAAGAGATAAACTTATTTAGTGATTCTGCAGCTTCTGCGCAGCTGATTTTTTCCTTTTTTTCCGTTTTGGCATCTGAGTCACTTTCTTCAAGATTTTGAGTAGGCTGAGGGTTTACTACAATGTTGATAATGTCCTCATCGGTTAGTTCTTGTTCAATAGGCTCATTCTCATCAATTAGAAGCCACTGCTCTACCTCATCTTTAGGCAGGGTTTTCAAGGGATTGTCAGCACTTCTAATGACATCCAAAACTTTGGTCAGAGCGTCTTGATAGTTTTCTTCCTCATTAGTCTGTAGAGTTAGGTCAGATGCAGGGTTTGCAGCTGGCCAAAGTTTTCTCCAGCATTTTTGGAGTGTTGTATTTTTTACCTGGTTCCAAGACAGTGCAATAGCATAGACGGCATCTTAACTACGTAATTGTTTCTGAACAATACCGAGCGCTTCCGGATGATCCCGAACTACCCCAAAAACTTCCAAATAGCTCTCGAACTTTTTATTTGCTTTAAAGACACTGAAAGTGAAAGTGAAAACTGAAAACCAAAGAGTGATGCCGGACTATAGGGCATGCCGGACTGTTGGATGCCGGACTAATGGACTTCTACTGTACAATATTTTTAAAATAATTTTTATTTAAACCTACAATCGATTTTATGGGGCTTTGGTGTGGTGTTTGTACAAACTAACTAGAAGCACTCATGTGTCAGATGGACATCTATGGTACATTTAGTTAGAACCTTACGGCAATGGAGGGTAGAGAGGTAAGGAGGACTATCTCATATGGGAGACAAGATGAAAAAGTGTCCTGCTGTAAGCAGTAAATAATAGTTCAAAAACCTTCCAGAATGGCGCTTAGATACAGGGTATGGTATGAATGTAGCAGTTGTAGAAGAATTGAAATTGCCGAGTTAAAAAAATAATAGTTTTGGTGACTAGAGTAGTTAGTTACAGTACAGTATACAAAACTTCAACTATTCACATAGTTCAAAAATATTTTTATGACTGCTGTGAGAAAACGTGGAGTGATTTTATTTTTCTGAACTTCATAATATATGTTTACTAATATTTTAGTGTGAACTGATATAAAATTTTTTAAAATAGTCCAAATTAATCTTTCTGTTCTTAAAATTTACCCTGCTGCTATTGTAGCGCAACCCTAATTTAACACATTTAGAGGGATGGACCCTCCACACTTACAGGAATTTGAAAATGACATTTCTTTTTTTTTAATATAAACTGGATATAGGCAAAGGAATAATTTTATTTCAACCAAGAATAATTAGGTAGCAGAAATGCATTGTGTGTATTATTTATTATATGATTTATTATTTAACTTTTTTTTTATTACTTGTTTAATGCATTTCTTTGCATTGGTGGCAATGTACATTTTTTGTGATTCTAATGACCACCATCATAATCACACCAGTTGATAATGCACAGTTTAATATACAATAGATTACATTAGAAAATATTCAAGTACAATGTCTTTATGGCTTTTACAATTACGAGTAGTTAATTGAAATAGACTTGATTTTTATACATTTTTCTGCCGACTTCCAAAAAGGAGCCGGTAATCAATTCGACTGTATGTTTTTTTTTTTTTTCGTTTTTTTTTTATGTGTGTTACCTCAGAACTTTTTTCTGGGTGAACCGATTTCGATGATTCTTTTTTTATTTGAAAGCTGGTACTTCTCGTGTGGTCCCATATGAATTTGATCAAGGTCAGACCAATAGTTTTTAAGTTATTCTTAAATAACTTATATTGAAGTCGGCTGTACAAAATTTTTAATTTTAAATTATTAATTTCTTGGATTACATTTTCGTGGTGTGTACAATATTCCTCTATTTGTTTCTTTTATTAAATAACTAAAATGCCTCACAGTGTATTCCGAGGGATAGGTCAGCTATCTTTGCTTAATTTCTTTATATTCTCTGAGATCCATTTATGTACATTATGTACATGAACTGGTCTCATATTCGTAGCAATTTATTTTGCAAAGTATTTTTTTATAACCCATCTAGTGGTTTATGCTGTTGAGTGAACATTTAATTGCACTCTTGCTGCCTGCACTTGAATATTTTCAGTGGAAAGGTTCTCTTAAATACATCTAATATCCTGTTTTATATTAATTTCATGTATTACAGTTTATTTCTTCAGATTACTTTCTAAATAAAGACACTTTTATCAACTGATAGCAAGTATCATCTTCACAATTATAGGTTTCTGAATGAAATTTAATGAGGCCTGTTATTGATAAAAAGTTAAAAGTACTGATAAAAATGTGTCAGGTTGGGTCATTGTTAGAAAATTATACAATTTCACTCGCCCAAAAAAGTTTTCAATGGGATCCGAATTGATATATCAAGGCCGCATGATCTTGTCGTTTTTTTTTTGTCTAACAGTTGCCACACCCTTTTGTAACTTTTTAATGTTGTCAGATAATATTTTAGTGTAGGTACTACAAAAATGATTACATATTAGATCGTTAAAAACAATGATTTTAATCATCATAACTTTAACACGACCTGGATTAAACGACTGAATTGTTCACATAAATGGTGTACTATCTCTTAATATCATATCTCTTAATATAAATTGCACTGAAGGTGTTTCAAAAAGTTATAGATTTTTTTTTAAACTCTGTAACTTGTACAATTAATGCATATGAATTATGCATATATATAGCGTAACTGTGTACACAAATGTAAACAATTTTTATAATGATTCTTAAGAAATAAGGATCTAGTATAAATTAAAAATATATAAAAGAAACATGTTTTAGTTTATTTTATCGTTATAATCAATCACATGAAGAAATGTTTCACCCTTAGATAAAACAAAGGACAGTTCAGAGCCACGTGCATTCCCTAACTCCCTCTATGCTTGGATGTGACTGCAGACTGGCAGTGATTATCTTTCCTATCAGATGTTTGTTTTTTGAGCTATATCGACATCATCATCATTATCTTTACAGCCCTTTACAAATCCATTGCTGAAGATAGGCTTACCCCAAGAAACACCACAAAAGATGGTTCTGAGCCACCTGCATCAATTGACTTCCTACACTGATTACCAATTGAAGTCTGCAACTCGAGAACCTTACTTTCCCATTGTTTGTGTTAACAACTATTCGTGCTTATGGCTGTACCATTGCCTCTCACGTTTGCTGAACTAATGGGCTATGTTGGTTACTTTAGTTCTTCACTACAAATTTTATCACAGGTACATAGTTTTTAAGTTTTGAGTAATGCGGGATGTGAAGTTCTTCCCTGGTCAGAGGTATTTTCTTATAATATAATATGTAATACCTGCTTCGCACGGGTGATTACTGGATCTCGACAACAGCGCCACTTAGCGAATCCAATTGTGAATCTAAACCACCCACTCATACACACAAAAAACTTGATCAATATCAGTCGACCCATTTTCGAGTTTTAGCGAGATTAACGGACAGCAATTGATTTTTATATATAGAGAAGATTTATATTTAAAAAAAAATCCATATTGTCCTATATTGAATGAAAAATAGTTCTGTTTAAAAAAATATGTCTCAATCTCCCGAACGCTGTCCAACTGTATCGATCTGATACTTAATCGAACAATAATTTGTACTTCTTTTAAATGAATAAATGCATACCCGCCTCACAGGGGCAAGGATGGGTTACATCGGATTCACACCGAACGCCATGGCACTATACTTAATGCCGCACACATCCACGGCCCCACTGGGGCGTTCTCGGTAGAGGACATTTCCTCCATTTTCTCCTTCTCAGATTAGGTGAACACCAGGCGCGCCTGAGGACAGCGGCCTCTAACTCCACCTACGCAGCGCCAGGAAAGTCGAGCAACACGTTCATGACATCAGCGGCGTACCTGCTTTATGGCTCCGCCGCCAACCAAATTTCGGCCGTGCAGGGTAGAGAGAGCGGCGCCTCGCAATACCGATATTATACTCTCTCTCTCCCTCACGGCCCCACAGCTACTACATCAACGTTGCGGCCCTGTCAGAGTCGCGATCTATGCAGGAGGCCTTGTTCGGCAGTGGCCTTTTGAATAAGCTGTAATGAATGAAAAAGCAAATTAAAAAAATACATACTTGTCGAGCGTAGGTGTGACACGAATAATACACATGATTTTTGCCTAGTCCACGTTCATCCTTAACAATTTGCTCCAGGCCGAACTTCGGATTGGCGGCCACAGTCTTAACGGAGACTAGCCATCTGCGTAGGATAGGATAATAGTGCACAGCGTAGGTGCAATCTCTATTCCCTCACTTTCATATTCCGATGGAACGGTAATCCGACACGACCGGCACGGGGCGTAACACCGCCAACTTCCTGACTCCGGACTGCTATTGAATATTTATTAAATAATAAAATAAATAAATAAAACAACAACGAGGCAGTCAACGTTCATCCTAAGACTTATATTTCGGAAGACAATATTAAGATCTTTGAGCATAGTGCTAAGATCCTTCAGCGATTTACTTGGTCCTTCGAGCCATATGGC